TGGGGAGTCTGTGAGGTCCCATGCTTGCATGTCTCCCTCTGAAAAATGAGAACGATAAAAAGATGTTATATTTTGTTGCATAGATATGCACACACACACACACACACACACACACACACACACACACACACAAACTAAACCTACCATTTGGTTTATTTAGTTGTCAGACGGCCTTATGATTTTAGGTTTGCACAGGGTAGAAGGCAAACCAGTCTTCGGACAAGTCGCAAAATCATCAAAAACAAGGCGTTTTCTAATACCCTCGTACGCAGTGTTGAGACTACCCTCTTGATGGTGTCGTCAATCTGGCTAAACAGACGCAGCATAGGTCTCCAGTCGCACCACTGTATAAAAAACATGTCCTTAAACCATGTAGCGCGCTCTTCTATGCTCAGAGGGTAAGGATTTAACCTCCAGTTTTCAACCCCTCTGACAGCAATAAGACTTTCCCTGTCATCACATACACTGAGAAAAATAAAGTAATCGGGGCTACGGTTGAAGCGATCAGCCTCGACCCTGTAAAGTTCAGGGCCTGTTGGACTGTTCCACTGGGAAACATACAGCATCTCTGGGAATCCCACACTGTCCAAGTCCGCACAAACAACTGTGCGAAAGACTTTCCAGTTTCTAGTAGACATGCGTTGTGTCTCCCCCCAAAACACTCCCTCACCACAATCTACACGAAGTATAACTGCTCCGTTGGTATATTTAACGGTATACACATACCCATTACTGCCTCGATATTCTAGCTTAAATTCAGTCCCATCTACGGCGTTTTCACAGCGCTGCTTTTTGCGATGAGGGCCCCTGGGGCATGCGCCTGTAGACGTACCTAGTATGGCTGTGGCTTAGGCGATGTCCTGACTGCTCGTCATGGTTGATACAGATGTCATCCTGCACTCCTTAGTTAGAGGTGTCTGCGTTCCTTAGGTCGCTCTGTTGATGCTCCAAATGGCGAAGGAGTCCGTTTTATATGTACATGTGTTAGACTAGCCCAGTAGGAGGTGTCATTACCCCACCCTGGGGTTGGCCACGGTTTCTGTTGGCCTCTGACATGATAAGATAAGATAATGGAATTAACGGTTTGTGAAGAAACACCTTTGGGCTGGGATGCTCTTGATAAGGGAGCCTCTTTTGTTTGCTTCATGACTTCTTTTGCAGACTGTTGGGAGCCTAACTGCAACCGCCTCTGTCTAACTGTTACAGAGTGTGGCTAGGTGTGAATATGTGTTTTTTAGAAGTATCACAGTTTATTTCTAAAAGAATACATGCTTTTTTGTGGTGCTCTATTTAAAACTATTGGCCTGTGAAACTTTTAGAAAAGTGAAATGCCCCTAAAGTAGTTAAATCATCTATGTGTAATCATCGAGTCTAACTGTTGCAGACTAGTAGATAATTATAAGACTAGTTGCATTAAAGCCACATTGAGGTTGATACAGCTCTAGTGTGAATATGTACTTTTAGAAGTATCACAGTTTATTTCTAAAGGGATACATGTTGTTTGTGGTGCTCTATTTACAAACTATTGGCCTGTGAAACTTTTAGAAAAGTGAAATGCCCCTAAAGTAGTTAAATCATCTATGTGTAATCATCGAGTCTAACTGCTGCAGACTAGTAGATAATTATAAGACTAGTTGCATTAAAGCCACATTGGGGTTGATACAGGTGAATATGTACTTTTAGAAGTATCACAGTTTATTTCTAAAGGGATACCTGTTATTTGCGGCCCTCTGTTTGAAAACTATTTGCTCCTAAATAGCACTGAAGAAAATGCAAAAGGCTCCTAACTAGTTAAAATACCCCTAAAGTAGTTAAATTAAATCATCTATGTCTAAATAACAGAACTCTGAGACCTATACAATCCTTTAAAAAGAGTTTAATTAAAACACATAATGGTTTCATTAAATAATACGCTATTAAACACATGTAAACTCATATGACCCCTAAACCCACATGGACGTGCAAAAAGTCTGTTCTTGTGCACGTGCACACGCACATGGACGCGGAGGGGGATAGGGGAGGGGGGCAAAAAAAGTACAGGTATATTACTACTGTGGGATGATGGGTGGTGGGTTATATAACCAGAGCTTAACTAAGTATTTTCACACAACTACTGGAAGAAGGAAGGCCTGCTAAGGACGCGGTCACTGTTTTTTTAGAAGGCAGCTCATAAAAGAGACTGGAAATACTATTATTAATACTATACTAATATTGTCAGTGTGTATTATGTTTGTTTTTTGGGTTTGTTTGTTTTTGTTTTTTTTCATGTGGATGACTGTACCATGAAACTCATGCCCATAATGAGCGCATGTAAGCTTTTTACCACACTATCTGTATGATAAGTGTTAAATATTTTAGTGTATGGGATATGCTTAAGAATTCATAAAAAGCACCAAGGTCATTAATCTGTATCAGTACAAACAAACAAATTCATCCAGAAATAGCCAAACTGGAGAAAGAAAATGGCACCTTCTTATTCGACCCTCGAGAAGCCACAGTAATGTCAATGGGCTCAATATGGCCTTTCTTTACTATAGGTGGTTGCCCTGGAAACACAGCTTGATAGCACTCCTGCATTCTTCCCAGTGTTCTGTGGAAAACAAGGTTAACTTTTAGCATTAGCAAAATGGAAAAAACAAAACAAAACATAGTGTGGATACTATAAAAGTACAATCTGCAAAGATTGCAATGAAGAATTTACTTTCCAAAATTCCCAGTAGTTGTTCTTTTAATTTCACTGCACACAATGCACTATTTGTGCAAACCTTTCAGGCTATGACAGGAAAAACCCCACTGAGAGCAGACTGGGCAGCCACCCATCACAATCTGCCCCTCTTGGTGATGCTGGTGACTTGTCCAATCTTTGGTCTGTGGCAACATTGTTTTGTGGATTTGAATCAATTGCTGATCTCTTATAAACCTAGTGGAGCTTTTATGAGAAATTTGATAACTTTAATTATTTCAAGCAGTTCTACAAATGTGGATAGATGAACAAAATCTTGCTTTTTTGGTTTTTCCTTTTCGTCTAATCTTTTGAAATTTTAAAAACATAAAAAGTCACCTTTAAAATGAGGAAAACATTGCCCTATCCATTCAATTAACCTTTTCTTAAATTAAATACCTGAGATCTAAGCCAATCATAACCTAACAAAAAACAAACAAACAAACAAACAAACCCCAAATTACTTTAACTGCATTGCAAACTATGTCAGCAGCAGTGATGTGTTACAGATTTACAGATCAGACCAGGATTAAATGATGCATTAGTACGATTATTTAATCTTTCTGATGGGCAAGGTTGGCCCACTTTAGTAATTAGAGGCAATTTAAATGTGGATTTGCATTGGCTACTTTAACCAGTTAATCTGTCTAATTTACTAAAATACTGATGTATTATATACAATTTATATGCAGTTTCCGTTATTGAATGCTACAGAAACAGGGCTGTTCGATATAACTATATATATATATATATCGGATGCCGATATGAAAACGTCAATTGTTCTATCGTTTGTTTCGTGATGTCGCAGAGTAAACTTTTTATGGCGATATTTTTTCATCGTTTTGATGGTCACTGTAGAATTTCTTAAGTTTCTCTTATATTTAATATAACCACACTACAGACGGACAAGCGACTGTTTTTATGAGTTTACGTTAGCAACAACCACGGTAAAACCATCCCGTGTCCGCTTGTTTATTTTCCACATAAACCTTTCACAATAAAGCT